CCTTTCCATCCTTGGCAGGATGCATAGGAGTGGAAGACTGTCACGTAACTCATTCCCTTCGGACAATAACAAAAACAATTCATATTCACAAAGTTAAAAATCGGATCCTTCAACGAAGAAATGAACTTCTGCAAAAACAAACAAAACTTGTTTCCTTTGGGAACAGTCACAAACACATGTTTCTTCCTTCTCAACTGCCACTCAATCACATTACAACATAGCAACCAAATAGAAGCTCTGTTCTGTTTGGGAGAAGGGTTGTTGATCACTATACAGTGGGGCTGCAATCTCTCCAGTTGCTGCCAAATACCATCTTGACCCTTCATAGTGGAAAAGTTGTATCCTGCCTTGAAATCCATGAGATGCAACTTTAACACCATTCTTTGAAAGGAACCAAGATAATCCACTGTTTCCATGAAGTAACTCAACAACATCAGGATGATCATCATTACAGAAGAAAAAGGACTGTTCTCCAAATTCGGCATCAACATACAGTTCGTGATCTTCACGTAAGTTCTCCGGATTCTCATCGTCTAATGCCGGTATGGAAACATCATGCCACTCATCGTGATCGCGTCTAACCCTTGACTGATTCACACGTATCACTGCCTTACCAGTATTGGCTTGGACCATAGCTCCTTCTTGTCCAAGTACTGTGGCACGAACCCAACGTCCTTTATCCTTGAACTTTGATGAATCCTGAGTCCAAACAAAAACCTTCTCTCCTTGGAAATAAGGACCGTCACTTGGCATAGTCCTTCTTGCAAGATCTGCTCGAAGGTCCTGAGCTTGTCGTGCTTCTTGATGAGCTCTCAAAGCCACCCGTTGTAGTTCCAAATTTGTACGATCTTGTGCGGCGGCATTAGCTGACAATTGCTCAGGGCTTGCGGTCTCAAGGTCAAAAAGATCTGGTGGACGTCTTCCAGTTGCTATCTCTATTGGTGAATATCCACTGATAGTCAACTGACAATTTCTTGCCCAAACTACCTTCTTGACCACTTCTCTGACCGTAACACCACGAAAACGTGGGTCATCCAGATCTACCTTCATAACATGCCACATACGTTTGAACAAACGTACAGCTGTCTCTGCTCGGTTCGGCCAAGGAGTTCTTGGCCCACAAGGACATTGTTGTATACCATGGAACCTGTAGTATTCAACAAAAGCATCGGTGAAAAAGGCTTCGTCTCCTACGATGGCCTTTGGAACACAGTTGTTCTCATCAGACCATTGCCTCAATGCTTGGATGGTGGTTTGATCTATGAGGTCTTTCTGTGCCGTAGCCCAGAGAAGATTTGTGGCACCATCAAGAACAAGTAAGATGATATACTTGTTCTTGTGAAGTTCAACCTCACAATGATCAGCAAAAACAACATCACCAAAACATGAAGCTCTAATACCGGAGACTCTGGCTCGTGGCGGAGGTGCCACTGAAGTGTTACAAACACGGCAGTTCCTGACAACTGATTCATACTTCTCTAAAACAGAGTCAGGAAGCTTCAACATAGAAACACGTCTACGAAACTGAGTAGGACTCATATGGTAGTGCTTCACATGAAGCTTATAAAGCTCTACCTTGTCCTCCAGTCTCTGTAACATCTTCCTATATGCCGGTGTCATTGCAACAACTTCGCTACCAGGTAATGGGATTGAAATCCGCCTAGGCTCAAGAGCGCCATCACCTGGTTCAAGTGGTTCATGTTTATCACTTGATGGTCCTTTTGATGCTTTAGGAATTTCTACAAGTTCACCTTCTGGCCTCTCAGGTGGTTCTGAGGGAGCATACTCCTCAAGATCATCACCCTTTAAATCATTCTGAGGCTCAGATGGTTTCGACTTGTGTCCCTTCCAAAATGGATCAAAACCCTTGGAAGTATACCGAAACTTTGGCGGCACGGGCTTTTCCGCGGCACTTGATGGTGCACCTTCCTTCTCTGACGAGAAGCCTGGTTCCCTGTCCTTTGCAATGGGAACCTTCTCTGAGGAGGAGCGCACCACTGCATCGGGATCACCAATGCCACGGTGCTCAATGCCAGCCTTCCTGATCTTTAGATCTGGAATTTTGGCATCTGGTTTGAACTTAAAAATTGTTCTACCACGCCATTCATAGCCAATTTGTAGGTCCTTCCATTTTGCCTTGCGCCAATCATCTGTCTTCTTGATTTCTTCTCCTCCTTTCTTCTTCTTGATGATTGTCAGTCGCAAGTCTTCCAGTAAGTCAGTATCTACAGGACAGGACTTAGTTGCTGGAAAAAGAATCTTTCTATAATCCTTGTGGTGACGTATCAGTTCTCTCTTGTGAACATCTACTTCCCAGTAGTCAACCACAGGATATGCATGTTCAGCTACATCTTCATCACTATTGTGATCAACAGAAATATGACCATATTCATAGTGAGTGAAGTGAGAGTAAAAACTCTTCTCGCGCCGAGTCTGCAAATTCACGTCAGACAGATACCATGCAATATCTTGGAAGTCCAAGACAAGATGAGTGCTGGCTGCAACCTTCAACTCCAAATATTTGATACCAAGAGGCACCGATGTCAGATATGCATGTTGAGGTGTCAGCCTGAGTTCAAAACCTAAGTTCCTCATCTGTGGCAAGATCATAAGCAAAGGGACTTCTCCTTCTTCCACTATGTCGAACTCTGTATGGTGGATCGTCCATGCACGATCATACATGTAAATCACCAGTTTCTGAGAGCAAGTAGCCTTCTGGGAATTGGCAAAGTAAAACTTGCTCTTGGTAGACTCAAAAGAGTACCATAATCCACAATCTGGGTGATTGTCGACATAGTTGCAAAAATGGTCGACTGCTCGCCTTGATCCCATAGCTCTAGTGCATCCAATGTCCAGGATTGCAATAGTCGGCGGGAAGCGATTCTCAGTCAAAAATGAAATGGCCTGCATCTCCTTCACTTCTTCCTCAGCGCTCATAAGCGCAAAGCCATCAGGAGCCTTTGTGAGCATCTCCTTTGACAAAGAGTACCTCACAGGGGCACCCATGCCATTGAAGATCGTCCCACCATTGTTGACCGCGCAGTCAGCTTCATCTTGACATGAGGTCATCATGCCTGACAGCAAGTTCACCTCACTGTCATTGACTTCAGCTGCTGCTGTCACACAATGTGCAAAGAAACCTTGTTGACCTCCTGATGCTTGTGAAGATCTTGAAGGTGCAGGTAAAGAACGTGGCTGTTGTTGATTTGCATAGTTTGCATCTTGTTTGCCATCTCCTTTATCTTTTCCTTTTCCTTTCTTGCCTTTTCTCTTGCCTTTTCCTTTTCCTTTGTGGGAAAACCATGCTTCTTCAAGCTGTTGCCAAAAGTCATTGGCATCATCATATTCTCCTTGAAGATAGTCATTCATATCTTCGGCAAGAATGGCATCATATGCTACTTGGTTTGACTCCCAAGTGTCCTCATAAGGATTCTCTTCAAAATACTCTTCTGGATATGTTGTCTGTTGCTCATCAGCAAAATGGCCTTTACCTCGTCTCTTTCCTTTTCCTTTTCCACGAGGTCTGAAGAATCTGCGGCCTGATCTTCCTTTACCTTTTCCTTTTCTTCTTCCTTTTCCTTTGCCTTTTCTGGCTCTTCTTCCTTGGAATCTCCTTTGGAACCACGAGAAGTTTTGATCATCATATACCCAAAAGACATCGTCCAGGGCATCTAAAAATCCTTCTGTTCCATCTTCTTCATCTTCGGCCCAATAGCCAAATGTACCATCGAGTTCTCCTTCGTCTAGTACGAGAAATGATCTTCTACCTCCAGCACCTGTTGGCTGCATCAAAGGATTGTCTACTGAAGTCTTTGTTGTGCAGAACATCTCAATGAATACTGTCCTCAACTCTGTTGTGGTGTATTGCTGCAGGACCCTGCCACGATGAGTCATCAAAGAAGTCAAAGTGTTTCGCTGGTCCTGAGACAAATCTGCAAGTGACAGCATGAGTAAGGCAATGAGATTTTCTCCTAGAGGAAATTCATTCTGATGAAAAGTTCTCATATTTCCATTGATGGTCTGCATGATTTCCTGAATCCTTTCTGCCGTTGGTGCTACTCCAGTCAACGCTGCATCTGCCTGCATCTGAGCTAGGACTTGTGGATGTGCTTGAGTGACTGGTTCTAACATGTCCATCCAACTGCTCATAAGCCTTTGGAGTAAAATCTGGAATCTTGTCATCCATTTCATCATGTCAGCTGATCCTCGATTGAAGCGCACGAATTGCATAAATCTATACAGGAATACATTGGTTGATCCTTTCACGAAATATGGTCGTAGTACTCGTTTGAAATATTCTACGCCGGCTCCTGGTGGATCATTTGCCTTCAATGCATCTCTGTCTAAAACACGCTTGTATACAGCTGCTTCTCCTTCTAATCTGTTTCTCAATGCTGGTCCTCTCTTCTCATCTTCCAGCTCGGTGATATCACACCAATCGTCTATGGCATCCTCATAGGAAAACCATGAAGTCTTTCCATCATAAGATGGGGGCACCTTTGTAGTGACCTGTGTTGTCATTGCTATTGCTGCTGGTTCTCTTCTCACATGCCTATTCACGTAGGCTGCTGGCTCATAAGCCACATCCGCATCAGGCTCTTCCCAGTCGTCTATCCAATCCATGGCTGTTTGCCCACTAGCAATTCTATGCCTAGGAAAGGAGCTCACCTGGGTCTTCCAGGATCACTGCTCCGCTACCACTGAAAGAGTGACTAGGGCGTACACGGTAGAGGTGCAGACCGCTAGTGTCTTTTATGCGCAGAGTCTTATCCTCTTGCTCTTTGAGCCTTGAAGCAGTCAAGCATGGACACACTATATCAGCTGTTGGAGTGGAACCCTGTACAGGTAGGCTCTACTTTTCAGGGTGGGGGGTGGATGGGGGTGGGGGGTTCTGAGTTCTGTGATACTTGGAGTCCACTTCTCCTACTGTATTGTGCCGGGGATCTCAATTTTGCTCGACTACTCGCCTAACGCAAAAGACTCCCCTCCACCAAAAGAGCCTGGTTGCATGCGCGGCATGCGCAAAGCTCTGGCATGGAGAGGCAACTGAAGATGCCCCGGAGCTCCTCGTGTCGTTCCGGAGGAAGGACGAGGAGGGACGAAACGAGGTGACCACGGACTGATGGAAATTCTCACCGGATGCGAGAGGGGGGGGGTCTTCAACCGTCAAACGTTCTGAATAAGAAAAACAAAACACAGATTTTGACCATCTGAAATGACTGCTGGTACTTTTGATTTGCAAAATAAAGAATCAAAGAAACCGTTTCTATTTTTTTAGGAGAGTGCCAACGCGCTCTCCTCGGATTCAGATGGGTCCAACAGCGCTCTAGATCTACACCGCTAGCCGGCCAGATCCAGCTTTCGCATGTCTGACGCGAGGATTTTGCGCTTGAACAAGCATGTTTTTTCTCTGTGGTTCAATGTAGAACCAAGTATATAGATTCGATGTAATTGGCGCATAGTGTCTGAACAGCGAACAACTTCACCGACAATTTATATATTCAATAACGTGTGCCAAATACAACAATTCTTGCAAAACCAAACCCCTGGGAGTCAAAGACTATAAAAAGAATGGTCTTTAGGTGACCCGAAAAGGAATTTCCTTTACTTCAGTCGGTCAAAATATAGTCTTTGGACTTCTAGGGAAACGTATTTGGCTATATTTACATAGGTGGCTTTGCTCGGATGGATCCTCTATTTAAGACCAAGCACTCATCCTCATGCCATGATGGATGGCTCCTGTACCCAATCCATTAGCCCACTTCCATGGCTCGCTTGTCAAGTATCATGTCATGCCTTCCATGCTGCTGCTGATATTTCAAACCGAACGGGAGGCCCTGGCAGTGCACGTGGTTCAGGCACTTTGGTGATTCATTCAGATCCGCACTTGCCACTTGCTGCTTATGGGAACTGCCTTCTTCAACCGGATCGATCTGCGCAGTGCACAAAGGGTTGTTCACTCAGAGTTCCTGGGCTCGAATGAACTCAGGCTGTGTTATGCCCAAGTTCCATGGCAGCCCATCGCCTCGATCTGTTTTCCATGTGCAGCCATGCTTTCCATCATAAACATGTGGTTTTCCTCCACGTTTCTCCTCAGGATGTACATTCAATCCATTCCTGGGCAGTCCGGATTCATCATCTTAGGCTTAGGTCTCCAAATGTCTTCAGGAATGCAACAAAATGGGCCAACATGGGCGCACAGGAAATGTCCGAAACGGTCTCGCATCGGACAACCAACTGTGTTGGGCACAATGAACTGCTTGCTCCCCTTTCCCTGCTTTTTCGCGGATCGACGATCCATCTCATACCTCTTGCAATTCTTCTGTAGCTTGGGTGCTCCTTCTAATTCATTACTCTCATACCATACCCATCTGGCAAAAAAATGAAACAAAGGGGCCTTGGAACCCAAGAAATAGAGAACACATCCCAAACAATCCTCATCAACGGTTTCTTGCTGAAATACTCATGTTGGAGTCTCATTCGTTTGTGGGCTGTAAGGCAACCAACAGTTGCCTCTCTCATGGCAAAGAAATCTGCAAGTCAAGTCAAGTCGAAAAAGAAGCATTGGTCAGTGGGATGAAAAATCATCCCAAGTAAAGGTTTTTCGTCCGATGTTTTTCAAGGATGTTTCAAGACATCCACGTCATCCACCCACCCACTTTGACAAGACGCACCCATGGAGGAGTCGTCTTCCACCCAATGAGATGAGTTCGCCGGGAAAAGGGCGACTCATCGACTCCGACTCGACCGACGCACGACATCCGAACGCGACGGACGTTGTGCTTGTTTACATGTCGAACGTTCTGCGAAACGGAACCCACTTTGGGTATGTCTCACGTGCGTCGCATGCGTGGTTTTCTGCTTTGGGAGCATTTTTAGTAGAGAATATATTATGCTTCTATATGATATGATACTAGTTGTCCAACAGTTGAAGGATGTGTCAGTCTATTATATTTGTTTTGGTGACACAAGTGACCGCTGGCACGCAAGAGACGATGCAAACTCCTTCTTTTGACAGCCTGGTGCTGCAATCTGGACACGCCCATTGGCCGCAAAAGTTGGCGGGCAAAAAAGGCGGGCGAACGGCAATGCCTTGGCGAGGTGGTCGCCAGCGCACCATCTCTGATGGGTTAGGACCTCGTCGACGACCTGCTTTGCTGGTCTGTTCCACCAAAAAGCCACTCGTCGACTGATGAACACCGATTCACCGATTCACTACGGCGCCCACGTGCTCCTCGCGGCATCGCGACAGGGTTTCACTGTACAACGGCCCACTGTGCCAGGTGTTCACCTCCTTGGCCAAGTGGCCATGGCTCGAGAGGTGTGGCTTGAGGTGTGGCTTTTTGGGAATCCTCTTGCCCAGACCCTCATGGGCCCTCATATGGAGGGGTCTGGGGTCTCAAATCCCTAAATTTTTGAGGTACCAAGAGCTGTTTGGAGCGTCTGGGTGTTGATCATTCGTGGGATTCTCCCGCCACCAGGGTTGAATTTGGGATAACCCTTGTCTACGGATGTGGGACCGGGATAGTGTTTAGGAAAGTTTAGCTTGGTGAAAAGGCTTCTCCACCAACAAGTTCCATCACCACGACTGGTGGGCATCCAATGGAAACTCCCAACCCGAAGAACCACCCCGTTCTAAGAACGGAAAGGCCAAGGGAATTCAATTGAGGCGAGGTCATTAAGGAACGAGTGACTTGCCGGGCCTTTGATCATCTCCACGACCAGTTCCAGTGAGGGATCTCACTTTCCTTGTGGCTTGAAATGTTCTCTCCCAGACGCTCATGGGCCCTCATATGGAGGGGTCTGGGGTCTCAAATCCCTAAATTTTTGTGGTACCAAGAGCTGTTTGGAGCGTCTGGGCTGCACCTGCTTTCATGTGGTAGGACTACTTCAACCCCAACAAAACCCTGTCTAGGAATCGATCTGCGCCACTGTCGCTGGTTTCACCGGTGGTCGGAGGTGATCTCCGGGCAGCGAACGAGTGAGCGAGCGGAAGGGCTTAGACTCCCGGGCTTAGCAGCGAAGCAGCGAGGAAATCATTTGGGTGTCGAAGCAATGAGGTGACCTTTTTGGCGAAAAACTGCTCATGCGCTGCCTCTCCTGAAATGTCTGAAACTGAAATAGAGTCTCTCCCGTGTTTCAACGGAATTCAAGAGCCGAAAGTCAACAGAACCCCAAATGATCATCGCCTCCTCCTCCTACCTGACACGCAACCCGCACGGTTTCTCTGCGAGCGCTCTGTTGGAGTGCTATGTTGGAGCGCTCTGTTGGAGCGGGAAGATTTGAGTTCCGGCGGATCCGTTTGTCATCTTTCAGAAGCGGCCATCGAAATACGCATGACTTTGGATTGCCAGATCCAAGCATGGTACTTGAGACATCTTGAGATACTAAATTATCTATAAATTTAGAAATCCATGTTCCAGACTTGGATCTGTATCTACATGTACAAGGCGAGGCCCAAAAGGGAACCACCTTCACCAGCGCCCCTTCCTCGGCGACCGAGCTTAACCTCTTCCGGGTGGAGAGGTAATCGGTATGTATCTGTATGTATCGAGTATAGCCTAAATCTTGATACTTGTGGTGATACTTCATCATTGCTCTAACCAAGTCCAGCTCTCAAAGGTCTTGACTCTCCCCGTGGATCCACATTTCTCTCACACAGCTATCCGTCTACCCATGATACAGGTTGGCAAGGGCATTTTGCGCATTTTGCCAGCAACAAAACAAACGAATGAATATAATTGTAAACCCAATTGACCACTGTTTTGATAGAAACAGGCCATATCTTGAGTGATTGGTGGTCCAACATAGAGTCATTCAGGTTCTAGGTACATATACTATTATAAAATATTGATATTAATTATACTGTATGTTTATTGATGTTTACAGCAATATTGGCGGCTCCACCTAACCACACAAGTCACTCCCTTTCCATCTTTCATGTGTCTCTTTGGCACATCTCAGCTCAGCTTGGCTCAACGAGAGGGGCGAGCCTTCGAATTTCCTTCACCTGGGCAGATCTCTATTAGGACAGCTGAGCGGGCTGGAATGTTCTTGTTTGATCGACATTCTATGCATTTCCTTTCAACATGGACACGTGACCAAGGAGTGAAGAGACATTGTGAACATGATCAACTGCTCTGGGTCGGAATGTCCGGTAGTTTTTTTTTCCAAACACTCTATGCAGACCGGCACAAAAACAACACAAGTGGCTCCAAACACAATGGCTGTGCCGTTCAATACAGCATGCGGGCAACCAAGTTTGGATCCCCAGACCACCATGGCCACCACCAACAAGTTTGCTGGAGCACAGAAGGCACCCAGCTCGGCTCGGCTCCAGGTTTGGACACCTCGAAAAAGCATCGCGTTTGGTCCCAGCTAGGTGAAGTGACCGTAAATAGGACCCGTCACCTGAGGTACCTATGAATGGTATATAGTGTCTTATAGGGTCCTTCAACCGCCATTCTGTTGGTTCCTTTACTCCAAACGCCAGGCTTCTGACTACCCCATCTACGCCCGTCAGCGGCACGCGCGCGGCACGCGGCCGCGTGCGGCCGTCGCGTTCTTCCAAGGGGCGAATCCAAGGTGCGTAGGCGCGGCGCAGAGTTCCTCTTCAGCGTGGGCACCACATCCTCGTTCGTCTTCGCTCGCCATCGTGCGCCGGAACGGCTGAAGGGGTTCCAAACCGTTGGTGATGGTATAGTTTGCACTCTTGAGAAGTCCAAATGATTGGAATTTGGATGGAACATGCATGAGGATGAGAATAATTCAACTTACATAACGTTATAACGACGCTGAGCAAGCCGCTCATTTCTTTGGAAGGACTTCACAGCACTTAGACGCAAAGATCGATACGCAAACTGGGCATTCATCGCACATCCGCGGTCGGCGGCCGGGGTCTTTTCGTTCAACTCCCTTGTTCGCCCAACTGCCTGGACCACCTGATGATACCCACGGTTTCTTCGTCACCCCGTCTCCCCGCTCCTCGAAGGCCACGCTCTGCCGTGGAATCGCCTCCACCAAGCCCAAGGCCTCCAAGGAGAAGTCCTGCAACTCCGCCCGACCCGTCCGACCACCGTGGGCCCGGGCCGCTGATCAGCAAGGGAGAGGGCGCCAAAGGAAAAGAACGGCGGCGAGGGGTCCAGCGGTGAGGCCCGGTGAGGCGCGATGTTCTGGAAGTTCAGTTGGCTGCTGACTGGTATGACGAAAGCAGGGAATGAGGGTGGCTGGATCCAATAGAATCTCTATTGGGGGCTCCACTTCCCACCCAGGAAGAGACAGGAAGAGAAGGTGTCGCGCCACCGGGTGGATCGTCGTAGCGCCACCGTCGGAAGAAACACAACATCAGATCGATGTGTTTCGTCGTTTCCCAGAATCCATCCAGTTCCCCCCAGGAACGTTACAACAAACGTCAATGGCCAGAGCGTCAATGGCCGGAAAAATGAATGTAAAGAACCGGGTGGAGTCCGAATTAGGTGTTTTTTTGACTATTAGAAGTATACAGATTATTCTACAAGGGCCGCAGGTACATTCATCACCCAAAACCGCCAGTCATGTCAGCGATATTTGTGCCACCATGGATTGTCTGGGTTTGGTGTCCCTCACCGCCCTAACCTTCAACTCTCAAACTCCACTGCCTTCGTCCACAGGGAAACCGGTGATCCAGTGCGGGCTGTTTCATCTTCAATCCACTGAAAATGCGGTATAAAAGCAATGGTCAGCTTGACAGTGCATTGCTGGGACAACTCGAACAACAATAATCAAACAGCTAAAACATGTGAACACTTCACTTCTCACCTGGCTAAGAGGTCTGCGTGCAACACCTCCCTTTACGGTAAGTCAACATGACGTAAAAACCACGAAATGGCACCCGTCACGTCGCGTGCTTCGCGCCTCGCGCGCGTCCCGACGCCTCATCGTTCGAGCTTTCATCCCAATCGTCGGGTTCCTCCTCCGCCTCAGCAACGGCAGAATTGGTTGGAGGGAGGGTGCCCAAGGTTTTTTCCCCCAAGTCCGGACTGCACAAAGGTCACCCATTTTGGGGATTTTGGGAACTGGCAGGAACACTATGATATATATAAAGGCACGAGTCTGGCTCTAATAGGCTCTAAACCCTGCTCTAAGCGGAAAGCTGAGGCTGCATGTGTACTGGCAAATTGAAGCCTTCAATATTCCATTGAAGCAGCGTCGGTGGGGATTGGTCTTCACAATCTGCACGTATCTATCAAATCCCACTTGCATTCACCCTACTCTAAGTGGTAAGCTAGTGCATGGTTTTTAGTCACTGAATCCCACTTGCAATCACCCTGCTCTAAGTTCAGTCACTGAAGTCTCTAGAAAGGGCTCATTGGCTGGGATCCTCAAAAGGTCAAGTACTGAAGAAGCTGGAAGATGGAGACGTTTCGTACATGATTGTTACCCCCATATTAGAGAATCCATGGCAACCTCTTCCAAACCTTTGCAAAGTGTTTCAATTCCAAACCTATGCTCTCAGCAGGGTCTTTTCACCCTCCATTGTCCTCGATAGTATATTAGGCAGGGAGATCCCCCATCACTGAGTCTTTAATGGTCCATTTGTCCAATTCCCCCAACAATGTGGGTGCTCAGTGGATTGGGATTTGCCAGGTGTCGGTCGGTCTCCCCTTGAGGTACACGCCCCCCCCATCGACGCCGGGCTCCGAACGGGGACTTTCATCTCCACGAAGTCCTGGCGGTTTCACGGCTTCGTTTCGTTCAAAAAAACCCAAAAAGAAAGACAAGTGCATCACGAGACGTCTGCCTGGGTTCCAGGATGAGCCGTTTATTTTTTTCTCCTGTTCTTTGGTCTTCTCCAGGTGTTCTGAGCTCACCAAACAGCACAACCGGTAGTGGGTTATTACATCGGAGAGCGGTGAACGAAGATCGGGTGTGACACTCTGCCTATACCGGTAGCCAAACCCATGAGGTGAACAAACCACGCCCAGTGAACAAACAGCATGACATGAATACAAACCAATGTTCGTCCATCTGCCAACTCCAAGCTACATCTGCCAGTCATCTACCAGCACCACCTCAAGAATGTCTGTTCGTGGATTGGAATCTGAGTTTGATCATGTTGATGGAATATGGAATTAGATTTGGCAAACTTTGGAAGCTAGGTTGTTTCGTCAAAACCCCAAAAAATATCAAATAAAAGATCATACAAGTATACGGCATCTGCTTGACAACGAACGAAGACGTGAGGGGAACGGACGTAGACTCAGCTAATTCCAGATAGTTTTGGGGTCAACCCTGCCCAACTCTTTAATCCAAGTAGGTAATCTTACCAGCAGGTACTATAATGGAAATGCAGCTGCTAATTCCAACCAAGTCAGACCAAAGTCAGGAAACGAGTCAGGAACATCATGGGGATTTGACCCTCGGATAGAACAAACACCATTTAATTGTTTAATAAGAGCATGTCTTGCTTGATGTTAGTTTTTTTTTGATCCTGGTGCATCCCAAACGTACTGTTCTTCATTGACACAAGAACGCACCGACAAGTTTAAAGAAAAAAGGTCCCCCAAAAGAGGTCACGTCAAAGCTTGAAACACAACCCCAGGTGTGGCAGCGCCGCTGTGTGCAGCGCGGGCCTCCTTCATGGCATCTCTCCGGGTGCGTAAATAAAGCTCCCTCGCGCCGGGACCCGCCTGATGCTGTCTTCGCCGGACAGTGTGTGCGCCCACGGATGGAGCAAGGGGTAGGTCAAATGTTGGCTGGGGGAGGTCTCCCTATTTGTAGGGCTCCAAGTACCTTCTGAGAAGGTGTTTGGGGTGGGTTTGCAGGGTCCAGTCATACCTTCTGAGGAGGTAGGACTGGAGCCCTAGGGTACTTAATGCACACCCAAATAGATATGGGAAGATCCAAGCAGTTGGCTGGCCAGCATTTTGCCCAGTGGAAGCTTCGGATATTGACCAGTCTACCCAGCCAGGGGCGACTGGTCAAGGAGATCTCCCACACCCAAATGGAGAGTGGCATGATCTCCTGACTTAGGAATAATCCCTAGGGCTCCTATTCCACCTCCTCAGGTTCGGTGGCCCCTATACTCGCCCCCCAAATACACCCACCCCTGTGCCAATCGAACCGAAACGGAGGGGGGCGGCCGAAACGGAGCCCTACAGGGGGAATAGAGGGATGGATCTGGCAACACTCCTCTGGTTCACCACTCAAGGGATTTACCTCTCTACGAATCCACCGGCTGGGCGTTTCCAGGCAGGAGAGGGGGGCCAATTCTGGATCGATAGAACAGCGGTTGATGACTCACTAAGACGAAACCCTGCTGAAGCTCCCAGAACGTCGTGTATGACGTGTGTAAATCCTTTTGTGGGACTTAGAAACCAAACCAAATGCAAGCAATGCATGCCACATCATGCCACTTACTCTCAAAAAGATGTTACTTGGGTTCTAGGCTTGTCTTTAAACGGAACAAGCATTGCCTTCCTTGGGGTTGCTTCAGGAACTGGGAAAATATATTATCCAAAGAGGATTTCACAGGGAGAATACCACCCCAAGCAAAACCAAGCTCAACATGCCTTTCCAACCAACATTGTTACCGGCGATTCACGACCTCCACCCAGCAACAATGCCCCGCAACACTGGCAACCTCATCACCCCTAGTTAGAAAACAAAACACTCCAGGACAATGATCAGAACCATCCCTGAACATCTCTTAGTCTAAGGAAGACAGCCATGATGCCATTGTCCAAATTGAGTTGAGTGCCGGAAACCCTCAACCACCAGCATAATCCCAGTGATGATCCCAATGAACAAAACCCAGTGTCGGAAAAAAATAAAAAACAATCTGAGTCTAACCCACTATAGATTGATGTTTGCGCCTGAAACTCTCCCAACTTCTCCAAGAACTCCAAGGGCAAAGGCCCATAACCTGCAGGTCGACACCGTGTTGAAACGCGCGGTGGGTGGGTTTGGAACCAACAGCTGTTTTTGATCGGGAAGCTCTTGGGAAGGTAAGGAAGGTGGGGTGATCACCACCTTTGATGAGCCTTCGCCTGGAACTTCCATTGGCTCATGTTTGCCCCACAAAAAAAGGATTCATAGCCGCATGGCCCATCAATACCAGGCAGTTCGTGCTTCGTGTTGTTGTTGGACTCTTAAGTCCTATATAGGGGATCCACTCGACATGGTTGAACATCCACGCTTGCATGCGCCTTGGTCACTACTGTGCATGTCGCACACGTACCCCACCCGCTGCCAAACGCCGAGTGGCACTCCGAGTAGAAGGCGGTCTGCAGGGTCCACAGCCCGGAATCAGGACCTCCCAAGAAGCGTCATGTTAATCACGACACTCGGTTTGACGAACACCTCGAGGTCAAAGAAACAGGGAGAATGGAACGCATCGATGAGAGGGGTGACTAGATGTTTACTGGATCTTAACAAAGGTCAATCACTCAAGGGGTAGGTGTTTGACCCCATCTTGGGTGCGCGACGCCTTCACACTTCACACACACAGGTCAAGAGATATGTATCAACGTGCCCTTTAGTAGGTGGTCGGGTAAAGCGTCCAAAAAGAAGAGCTTGATGTTTCCTCCCAAAACCACCTCCCAGCTGCTCCAGCGATCTTCAGGGTCTTGGAGAACAAGGGTGCAGTCCGCTGTTCAAAGATATGAGGGTGTGGTTCAAGCAAGACCTCACCCGACAAACCATGGGTTCGGTTGACAGGTGGATCATGTGAAGTGCTGATCTGTCGGCCAGAACTGGTGCCTCCGATCGATGAAGCAAACGTCCATGAGGCAAGTGCTCCCAAAGCCCCGTTGCCAGCGGTGTGTTTCAAACATCAACGACCAGTGGCTACAAATAGCTACCATTCACTGACTGCTCCCGCAAATGGAAAACAGAAGCTCCACGAACTGGTACCTACATCTGTCTTGTCACCGCCCCACGCCATGTTAAATTTGGTGCTTGAAAGCTCAGGTCAAAAACACTGCCTGGAAGGAATGCTGCAAAGTTTTGAACTGCTACTTCGAACAAGTCTTTACCATGTCGTCGGCACCTTGCTTGCCCATGTTCTAGTTCCCTGACTCCCGAGGCGCTTCTCTGGAAAATAACGGTTCACCCAACCGTCCACCAGTTCTTGTGTGTCTATAGCGCGCGTGGTGTCCGCAGTCCCCCAGTCCAAGCTCGCAGGTGCCAAGTCCAGGTTCCACCTTGAGAATCCGGGCCCGAACCAACACACATATAGGGTTTGATTCGGGTCCAAACCCCTGCGGTGTCGGTGTCGGGTCCCAAGGATTCACAGGCGAGAAGCGCCGTCCTGTGCGCCGTCCTGTCCGCCGGGCGCCTGGGATGCCACCAGGCTCCATGGCACTGGTGATGCGCACCCAAGGGCCTCACAGTACAGCGCTGTGCAGGTCAGGTGTTTTTAGTGTGATGTGTGGTTTGTCTTGATCACTAACTACTATTATGATCACCCCTCCCCAAAAAACATAACACAAAACAAAAACACGATGAGTTCATGGTGATCCTGGTGTAGTCGCATGACCACAAGTCTTGCAAACCGCCCCCCCCCCCCGGCCTGAAGAACTCTCCACCCTCGCATCGCACTCTCCTCCGCATGATGCCCGCAACCACGCACGCCCTGCGCGCAACCACGCACCCCCAGCACCGCGCAACCGCGCCTGCGGGCAGTTGACCCTCCTTTGGGATGCCTACCGCCTCATCGAAGGCGGAGCCCGGCTCGCCCTCGTGACCTGCCACCGCAGCGGGAAACAACATAGCTCTACCCCCCGGTGCTCTCCCCTTCAAAGGTATTGTATATGTCACATGTCTGACACGCTGAGATACTATATATAGTATTCTGAGTTGGTCCAGGACCTGCTTCTGAAGCCAAAGGATGTCAAACAGGGCAGCGGCAGCTCTCTTTCTTGTGATCTACCCGAAGATTCTTGCCCGCCTCTTGCGATCACTCGGAGTCGTTCGCTTGCTGCACAGTGTTCCATAAAGCTCGTGGTAGGTTCTGGTCCAACATACTTGGAGTCGTTTCATTGCTCGTCGATCTGTCTGGTTTAAGCTCAAACATCTCAACTTCAACACAATGTCGCTGGAGTTGCGACTCGACTCAACCTGTTCTCCCGTTTGACCCCCTGCGCGCTTGTTGAACACCGGACGACTGGACTCCAGCCTGGAAAAGATTGCGTGGGCTCCCAATAGAGGTTGTGTCCATCAAACCAGCCTGGCGCGCGTGACGACGCCAGTCCTTTGTGGCAGAAACTCAAAGAAGGAGACCCCCCTTCAAAACACCAAAGGACAAATCATGAGGCCACTGCATGTGCTAAGCCCTTCCTTCTTATAGTCCAAAGGGAGTTGGATTGTTCAGCAGGTCAGTTCATCTGTTCAAAACTGAGACCTTCCAATGACTTTGTTGAGTTGCAATGGTTGGGTCATTTGGATGGGGTATTTAACTAATAGACCCGCCCCATGATGGTCTGGGAACATTGAGCAGAACGAACATTGTATACTATATGTTCAAGTGGTACACCGATGCCTCACAATGTCTCACATCCTTGTCCGAAGGGGGCTGTCCAATGTCACAAAAAGCACAGTGCATCACCGGATGCAATCAGCTAAACGTAGCCGTAGCCCGATGAAACGACCAGTCCACCAGATTGTGGTCACCTCGAAATAATGGCCAAAACAGCTCCAAAGACCGAGTTCAACTTGGCCCTTTGCCTTATTGAGTGTTTGTATGACCAACTCCAGCCCAAGTACTCCAGCCCGAGTAGTAGTGCTTTTTGGATGACCAACTGACTTGTACTGGGTACTATAGCCCAAAAGCTTTGGCCCTAGCCAGCGCCACGTCCCGTTTCACCATGGCTGTGGATCGGATGACCACACGGATGACGACGACACGCGTGAACTCGTTCACGCACTCCTCGTATCGGCTTCTCCGGGTGCTCCACGGTGCTCACGGTGCTGCAGGTGCAGTCGCCCTTCTCCTCTGCAGGACATGCAGTGCAGCGGAGGTGGAGAAAATCCTCATCTTCCTAAAGGTCTAGCAGTGGATGATCCATCTAAATGCTAACCTGTCATTAATTCCTCTCTTTACATCTGGTGGTACCTGGCTCGCGGTGGGCAATCTGGTTACCACCTGAAAGATCCGGGTATCCTTTCAAGGCACAGCGCATCGTGCAAAAGGCAAGTGACCAAGTCTGATATCAGCCCAACTCCACACAACCCAAGGCCTTTGGGTTACAACAATGCGATCCACCCTGCAGTGCACAAACAACAAACAAAGAAGGGAGAACAAATGAGACCAATTAACGCCAAACGTAGGAAAAGCCCTCGATTTGAACTCTCGGAAGCTCTATGAAGATTTAATATGTATAGGTATAGGCAATTGTAGGCATACAATAGCATATTGGCATGTTCATATACAACATAGGGCATAGGGCAAAGGACAAGGTCCCGTTCACTGGGGACAAGTACCCCGTGCACCGGTGTGAACGAGTTTGTCTCCTCCAACGAGGAAGGCCGGCCACTGGGGCGGCGGGAGCTTCTTCGCTCAGGCGGATGCCAAAGAACTTGTTGCCCCAGCAATTCGCCCTGCTCCACCGCCTACGGCAACTTCGCCGGCGAGCCGGCCGTGAACGTCTCCTCCTTCTCGTCCGACCGGAGTGAGGTGGAGGTGGATGGGGTATTGACTGGCGTCGTTGACTCGTCCATGGTGCTGTGGACTGGATGAAGAGACCTCCAGAATCATGGGACGGTTATCCTCCTCATTGGTGTCGTCTGTTTGGTTTCTTTTCACCACCCTCCTGCTCGCATGCCTGCACTGATTCTGATTTTTCTGATTCCCTTCAAAACCACTACTTCGAAATAGACATAGCGGCAAGCTGCCACCAACCCGGGCAGCGAGTGAGTCCGTTCTGCCGCCAAGACAAGGCAGCATCGCACGGGCCCTCCGCATTGAGTGTGCCTGTGCTTGCTCAGCAAATACTCCACCAACATGACATGTAAAGGGACACTATATGGGGTGCACCCCCTTTGACAGTATCATGAAGAACTTGAGTCGACATTTGCTACAATGCTTGAATACACTCGACAACTGACCAGTTCCGAGCAAGTCACACGTTCAACCATGTTCAATACCCTTGGTCTCAACGAGACCATCATGTCAAAGTTTGCGTGATCGGTCTCCAAAGCAACCAAGAGAGGTAACCAGTGACCTGAACTAGGACCTTACTGGGGTACCCAACTGGGATAGTCTATATATATATAATAGATGTCTATAATGTCTATAGGGTCTTGACCCACCTCTGTTGGACGTTTCAGTTTGCTTTCCCCAGCTTTCCCAACTGGGAGTCATCGCTCTCGCGATGTCCCATCTGTGGCGACGAGTCGTTGAACGTCGCTGGAGTCTCGTCGCGCCACGTGCCGCGCGGCCTTGATGTCTTGTGGCCGACCCACCAATTCCAAGGTGCCTCACGCGGCAGGTCAGCTGCGGCAGCAAACAAGTTTGTTACAAGGTGGAAGCCAAAACTCACGCGGTTCGTAAAGGAAAGTAGCCTTCCAAGGGGGTCAGGCCCTCCACTTCCATGTGATGTGATGTGTTCGTCAGAGTGTAAAGGAGTTGATGGAGGAAATGCATAGACATCCTTTCAAAAACTAACACAAACACTGAGAGGGAGGGCCTTTTGTTCCTCTTCGTGTACGTACGGTGGACAGCGTTTGATCATCTGATCATCATTGATCATCTATGACTTTGTCAAGTGGGTGTTACCCCAGAAAAGGAGGCCAGCTTGTACACGTCAAGGCTGCGACAGACATGTCCTTTTTCGATTCTGTCTTCGCTAAGCTGGCTTCGCTAAGCCTTCAAAACAGGGGTTGAACATGGTTGAACTATCCCTAGAGCTTCAACCATATCCTCAGAAGGTACTTAGACCCCCCTGGCACCCACCCCAATCACCCTTCTCAGGTGGTTGGAACCGTAGGGTATACTCCAGTCTAGATGAGGTAGCTCCCCGCCTCCATAACAGCAGAAGTCATGGATGAAGACCACACCGCCACACTTCGTGCGCCACGCGGACCGTGAAGCGAAGTGCCCTCGGCTGCCGCTGCTTTTGCCTCACGCGAGGACGCCCAGTCAGCGGCTAAAAGCGATCCTTGTTGGTAGTGATTGAGGGAATTTGAAGGTAAGTAAGATCCTTATAGAGGCTGAACGAAGACTTGATGAATACAACATACTGTAACACTCATAGATTAACATCACCGAGCACCTCAAAAGGTTTTACAACCCTAATGCTCTAATAGGAGGTTTGATTGATAAAGAACCTACTTGAAGTTGCGCATCAATCACATTTCCTCCCACACACCTCGGCACCTATCTTACCCAAACACCCATGCACTTCTCTTGCCTTAGCTTTTTGAATATGTTCAGAGAACAAACACCCAACTCGTGGCATGGCCTCCTCCACGATGTTGCGACCCGCGCCTGTGCGAACAGCGGTAACCTGGATCTCCTCATCGAAGACATCATCCAGCTCAAACTCTTCATCATCAGACCTCAAAGCTGCAAATTTAAAGGGGGACACATGCAACGTCTTTCCCAGGGAATGCTTCTTTTTCTGGGACCTAATTACCTAATCAGTTGGGGATGTGTGTGCCATATCTGACCATTTCTGTGAAATAGTGAGATGTAGCAACATGTAGCGTAATGTAACTGCAAAAAAACAGAGGTTTACATGTCCAACTCAGGAAAAACAAGAGTTGTACATGTACAAGTATGACTTATGATGAGAAAATGTCAGAGTTATTCGTGCATAACCCATTGAGGTCTGGCAGCTCCTTGAGCCGCCAAGAGTAAAAAAGGAATCAACGCAAACATGAATATTTTCCAGGCGGCTCGCTGAGCCGCCTGGGCCAAAGATTTCAAACACACGCCGACATCCGCTTGCATCCTCGTGTTGAAAGGGCTTGCTGGGCGGCATAACTTCAATGAAAAGTCCCTAAATGTGTCTTACAGTTGATATAGGTGGCACGAGTAAAAGAAACTTAAAAGCTCTCCACACAAAAGCCAGCCACCAGGCCTTTTCACTCTTTCCTCTTGTCGCCAGAAACTACTCCAAGCGATCCAAGTACCTCCATTTGCAAATCCTGCCTCCAAAACGATGAAGTCTTCAGAACCTTCTCTAACTGAACGTTTTCGGGTCGGCCGGCTGGAACTTCGCAGCGTATGGCTCACAACGGTAAGCAACCGTTTCCATGGGCTCACAGCAAACGGTAAGGGGAACCCTCTCCCCCAAAGACCAGGCTTAAACATGAGCGGATCTTTCTACATGCCGTGGCTTGGTCGGAGTCGTGGAGTCGGGGTTCAGAGCTCGATGGTGGAGCTTTCCGTGGACGGTTTCAGGCTTTGATGTGGTTTCAGTCCACAATATGCTGAAACCAGAAACAATAAAGCAAAGGGGCACTGTGTAACATCACACAATCATTCGATTGTAGAGTGCATTTGAAGGGTATGGCTGAGTGTCACAGCGATTGTTTTTCTTTTTGTAGAGGCTTTTAGGTTGTAAACGAGGTTTCTTTTGCTGACAATACACTGATGCGACCGAATGTATGCTCTAAAATAATAAATATTTTACTCATTCACCGCTTATCCTTCTTTTTTACTCGATTATGATTCTGCAGGGTGACTCAACGGCGCCGAAGAACCGCATCCAAAAAGTGTCCCTTTCCGCTTGGTGCCAGGGAATCATCAGATCCGTCAGTGCCAGGTATTGGTTCTACACTTGGAAATATTGTTTCTATGAAAGGAACCCCAATCCCAGACACGACACGACATGGGAACTATTAGCAAATAATTTTGTTCGCTGGACTTTTAGATAAATACCTAGCAGATCCTAAAGGCCTATACATATGGGATTATATAGATAAATCTGCCCGCACCGAAGGTGTTGAGGGGCGTGACACCTTTGGTTCGCGTTATCATGCGCTATCAGGCGTTAACGCAAAATAGCTTCAGCTAGGCAGGGGGGCGCATTTTCGATCGGGAACGAAAATGCATATCCTGTATCATGAAGTGTGTCTAGAAAACATGCAAGAAACTAAACAACATGTTTTGTTTTCACATATCATCTGTGTCTAACTATACTATTTCATTTCTCATTCTCGTAACATTTGCATCAAATCACCACATCCATGAAAGGCAAACAAGCGATTCCTCGCCTCTCAACAGTCTATGTCTTAGTATATCTTTCATGATTGCATCATATGCATCAGCTGGTTGCGATTGTATTGTTTATTGTACAACACGCCTGCATAATGGAAGTATTTGGGTGCCCTGAAAATCTACAGTTTCGAGGGGGTCGAAAAATATATTCAACGATGCTTGCAAGTTGCAGGTAGAGCACAGCTAAACAATTCTTAAAGGGAGTCAAGAGTCAAGAAAAATACATCTTTTGTTCATTCCCTTCATGATCTCTAAGTCTTGTCTCAATCATGCACCTTGTAAAGTTTATTGTGCATCATCACTCTATTTGTCAATTTCAAGGGGGTTGAAAACTAGATCCAACAATTCATGCAAGTAAAACATCATACCGAAACCATGTATCTACGGGTCCCAAACAAAGTGATTTTTGATCATGTCTTTTAATCCTCTCTCTGAGAGTCACTGGTGTGGGCGGTTGTCGTCACGAAGCGAACCTGAATATCTGAGCGTCCAAAACGTCCTGTCCAGCAGAGGACATGATTCAGCAAGGTTATCGCTTTTGAGGGGGGCCTTTGGCTTTTGCATGTTTTAGCCCAATTTCTGAAATTAACGACCTCTCTTTACTAAATTACTCATTGCACGTTTTGGCTAGCATGGGGAATCGTAAGAGGCCAATCGATGCTCCAAGCCACTCCTCTTCCGCTTCGTCTGGCTCCATCGGCGCATTGGTCTCGTGCAGCTTCTGCCGGCGTCGTTTCACCTGAAGCGGGTTGGTCGCAGGCGTTTTGTAAGAGACGGCCGCCACAAATGATACGGTATATATGTCGTAGTAGATGGCTTCAGAAATCTCCAGAGCGGCAATCTGGCTTTACATCTCCAGACCTGAGTGTTAATAACCAATATCAACAGTCTTCATTAAACAATATTCCTGGCATGGTGCGCATCCTCTGCAATAAAGCGACTGTGTGGACTTAACCCTCATTTTCACTGGGTGGTGAAGTAGTTTGCCCCATGTACAGTAGATATCCCCTCCGTGGCACCAAACACCAGACCACGCACCCAAGCATGCAGGGTGGGAGTGACGATCCATGTCTTGCCCTACTGTGAAGGAGGCATGTCTTGCCCTAGGGATCCGGAGGTACAACTGGACCCTCCGAGCGCCTAAATAATAGGAGTCTCGCAAACATCACTCTCTGAGGGTATGTATCTGGATCCATAATGTCGACCCTTGATTGATAATCCCCCTATTTCCCCCTATGTGTATTGTAAAAACCTTTTATATGTCTCTTGTAATATACTGTAATCAAAGTCCACATTAGGTGAAGATCTGGTTGTGGGACAAGGGCTGAGAAAAGGGGGCAACTTTGACCCTTCGCTTCTTTTTTCATGTCCTTCACGTGACCATTCTCCAATGATCGGCTTGGTGGAGAAACCCTGGATCTGAGTGAGGGTTTCAACCCTCTACACTCTTATTGTTTTCCTTATTAAACCTTTACATTGAGCACCCAAATGTCAAGGATTGCTATGGCACAAAATGTGAAGAACCCTATGAAATTCCCTAAGGGTCCAGGCCCATCCTGAGGCCTGAGGACGTCCTGAAAGGCCCCAGACCATTCTCAGGAAGTACTTTCACTCACCTCCAACATCCAAAAAGGTCATTACCTGGACCCCTATGGCCCTATGGGATATGTGTAAGATATGCTACCCCCACTGGTACCAAGGTATATACCTCTGCTTCAGGCAACCAAAAACCACCGATGTCTCAGATCTCCAATTCGGGTCGACGCCGGCCGACGCGGTCGGTCACATCCACTGCATGGGACGAGCCGCACCACCCCGACATGTGACAGCCACCGAGTCACAAAAACAACACTGAGCAAGAAACTGTTTGAAGAAATGTTTTCTGTTTGAAGAAATGGTTTCAAACTGTCATCAGTCACACAACACTTCAAACATGTTTCCGGATTGAAACGCAACCAAGCAGAATGAAGAAGGAAACGTCGCAGGTCAGACGGTCAGCCTTCTCTCGAGCAGTCTGGATCCGAATCGAACTGAAAAAAGATTCGCTGAGTCATGAAAACTAACCCTACAAGGCCCAATCTGATCCAGTGGAACTTGGCCCTGGGAGGACATCCCTTGACCTCCCTCGCGTCGCCGGAGCTCACCCGACGCCTCCGCGTCGATCCGCAAGCGAATAGGACACCATCCGACATCGGGCCGTCGCGACGTCGCGATCGCCCGACCCTGACGTCCTTTGATTCTCCACGTGACGATGGCTTCTCCGGCCAGGCCCAAGTGATGATGCACCTGGCGTGGACAGGTTTTATTCACCCCTCAGATAAGAAAGACAGCCTCTAACAGGTCAGGAATAATAGCTTGGGATGCAAGGGCACCCCCATCAGAACATGTGAAGCACTTCACACCTCATGGCTTCCACTAGTGAAGAATGGCGTCTCAGCTAGCTCATAAGAATTCCATCAAGCTTCACCCTTTACCGGATTTCATCTGTTTGGCAGGATGCCCATGCAAGCTTCAAACCTGTCTGGAACAGACTCTTGCATCACTTAAAATATGTCAGGACCAACGGAAAATACGAAACAAACAGAAATTCAATGATTCCCAAATCTGCTCATCATGACAAACAAAGAACCTATATATACAGGAACATGTACTGTATAACCTCTGTTTGGGTGAGAAACTTGATGTTCGCTTTTGAGACCGAAACAAAGAAACTGGACTTTTCCGCCGTAGACCCACCTGCAGACTCCAGAGTAACACACACACACAGGCAAACCGCATCAGCGGTCCGTCAGCGTCCTCCGAAAAGAACACACATTGAATGCCTCGTGCGCTTGCAAGATCCATTGCTGTCCGCCACGGCTCAGAACCAACACCTACGACCGCCCGAGTGGAGCGGGGCGGAAAGCCGCGTCAATGACGGCTGCAAAGAGAAGGTCTGGTAGATCCAGAAAGCACAAGCACAACCCATGGGACCATGGGGCTGGAAAATGACTGGAAAATCGATTTGAACCATCTTAGTTGACCCCTGAAACAATCACTCCAATGTATGGAGATGTATGGCTAAATACTCCGTACATGGAGGATCTAGGAAAGACTTTCGGGGATCTGTGCGACCTCTTGATATATACATTTTGATAGCTGAACTGTGGGATCCACACCCTGTTTCACAAAGCTGTATCCTGTCCATCGATCAGCGAATTCTATCCTACCAGTGCGAATTCTTCAAGATGCACTTCCTCGGCGGCTCTGCCATTGCCTACTGTGGAGCTGAGCCACTTGGCATGAAATCAAGCTGGTCAATAGCTCCAGAGATTTCCCCTGGGTCTGTCCACCCGTCCAGTTGCCGATGAGTCATCGGTCAAGGAGACCGAAGGGGGTGGTTTGACACAAATAGACAGGACCGACACCGAGGAGCACAGCTCGGCTGGTACCCATTGGGCCAGGATGTCTCCCAGCTTGTTAAATACACTTCCGAGTCACCTTGCAAAAGCTGGAATGTCTCACGTTCTGTGGGGAAGGTGCCAACCGTTTGCGCATCTTAGCCAGGTAAGTCAAGGCAAATGCTTGCAAAATGCTTCCCTGAATCAGAAAGGGCCCAAAAATGCCTTATACCTAAATGCTTGAAAAATGCATGTACACATCATACCTAAAATATGATGACCTAAATGTAGGTGCAGGTGTGGGTCAAACATTGGAGGTATAATGAGGTATGCCAAGCCACCAAGCTATGACCCCAGAGAAAAAAATAGAACTTGAGAGCACACAGCGGTTCGTCTTTTATTGTTTATTTTTTCATAACTTTGAGCTACATCCCGGTGTCCTCTATGCGAAGATACTTGGACACTCCCCCTTTCCGCAGTTCACAAATCTTCCTTAACTATTCCTTAAAAATTACTAGCCCATCTGTTCACTTCAAGCACCGCACCTGCCCAGTTTGCGTTCGTCTCTTCCGATTTCCTCGCTTCAGGCCATCCCCATCCATCCTTATCATCCTTCAACACCTTCAGGTGCCGCGATCCGGTTTGGTCCTCACCTCCCCGGTCCACCTCCCCCGTCCGATGTGCCTGTTGCATGGATCCCCAGTCCGGCTTGGGGCTCACACGCCTCGGTGCTCGTTCCCACCGAGTTCTCAGCGCGTAAAAGCGCCGCTTGGAGTGGGTAGAACATTGAGAGAGCAGGTCGTTGGATCAAAAGAACTTCGCGCCTTGGAGGTACCAAGGAGTTTGTTAGAAAAGAACATGTTTGTTAGAACACAACTAGGACTCTTGGGCTTAAGGAACCGGAAAAGAAAGACGGATTTCCCAGAAAGGGACTTGCCAGGATCTCATAGGGAAAAATAGAACATCATCTTATACAAAGCCAGGGGAGTGGTTCATAAAGCTGAGTCAATGTTTCAATATGTTTCAATGTGCCGGTCCAAAAACTTTGTGACGGAACTTGTGGAGAGTCCATGAAACCGTGGTCGTAATTGGTCGTTGCAGCTGTGATATCCGTGAGCTATATTTATAATAGATCAGCAACAACTGTAACAACAAGGTTCCTGCATTCGTTGTTCGTTGCCATCACCTACGCAAGAGGCAACTGGCTGCTGCAAACTGTCAGTTGCCCAGGTCCCACTTCTTCGTTCAGAACCGGAGTCCCGACGGGGTCAGAACGAGACGAGGAACTCGCCACCAGGTATCTTTAGAAGGCACCTACAAACGTTAGTGGATTGGCTGAATCCACCAACATCTTGTTGCTTTGCCAGGTGTAGTGCTGCTTTCCTGCTTCCCTGTCTTCCAACCGATTGCACTGGATCCCTCTCTCAGTGCATGTTCATGTCGCCAAGGCTCAATTGCAAGCTGGGCACTTGCCACGTAAAACCTCAGCCCAGTGACTGTTCAACGAATCACCAGGCCGTTGGTCGAGAAACACGCATTCAACATGTTAAACAAGCGGTGGAAAATTGAAAACATGTCCAAAACGTGGAATTAAAAGGAACTTGTGGTGTCTTCAAGAACTCCTTTTGCCATTGTCTATTTACATGTTGTCCATGTCTAAACGTTCCACTGGTGACCTCGTGGAACTCCCGTAGTCACCCTTGGGTTCCACTTTCTAAAGCGGAATGTGGACAGGACTGTGGACAGGTGTAAATAGCAGTCGGCAGTTCCCGGCAGTTCCTCCTCAGTTTCCAACGTGCAACGTCAGTTTGATCCCAATCAGTTGATGCAACTTTCTCCAGGGCCACCTCGCCAGTGACCGACCAACTCCACCGACCGACCCTTTGCGCGCCAAAGGGCGTAGGTCCAACGGCAGGACGAAGTCGCCCACATCCCAAACCAAGGCCTTCCGAGGACAACTCTCCGGACTTCCACTTCGGTCTGAGGAGCAAACATGCCGAAGACATGCAGTTCCCCCAATGATCGGTAAACAAACTATGAGATGCGTTCCATGTGAAAGCGTCTGTTCCCGAAGCATGTGTGAATTCAGCATCCCTGCGTGCCGCTTCATGTTGCCTGAACGTGCCGACATCAATGATGATTACATGTTAACATTGCCTCCGCTTCCCGCCTTGCGCCGCCAACTTGCTCCAACCAAATCAAACCAACTCAACCACTTACTCACACTCATCATGCTCACACTATCGCACGCACGCCAACTTGTTCACACCAACTTACTCACACCGACCTACTCACAGACTTGGGTTGCTCAACCCAACCAACCCACTCAAATCAACTCGCCCACACCGCGTTTCTCATGTAAAACGTGAAAAACATTGTCGGCCACACCGACGATGTGAGGCAACTTGCAGGTGAAACAGACTGTAGTCCATGGTGGTAATCCACCCTCATCGTGCTGCCTGGTGGTGACAATCAATACGATCGAGCGATGAGAGTATACAGATGGAGGGTTTGCTCATCAAGATGGCCTTTTTGGAACATGGGTGCGGTCAGGGCATGTCTGATTCATCCTGCGGACATGCTACCGAAAAACAAATCAGCCTGAGAGTTTGGTAGATCCAGGAGTTGGCCGACTGATGAATGCTCACCAGTGATGATACCCTGCGATATTGCGACCTGGCCTCTCAACGGTTTCTGTGTGATTTTTTTCTTGTGGGCGGCGGGTGGACGGAAGATTTGGCGGAAGGTCACGCTCTGATCTTCTCTTGACACTTTTGCAATTTCACTGTTTTTTTGTCTCCTGGCATCCCAAAAAAAGATCCGGGTGTGCAAACCACAAGGAAAGGAAAGATGATAAACCATCATGACCGGCCGCTCTTGAACCCTGTGCGTTGACGGAGACGGACGCGGCTCCTCCACCAACAGTTTCTCGCTTTCGCTCAGCGTCTGCTCAAGTTTTACCGGCAAGTGGAATGAATTGCAGCCAGCGAGGCTCCAGACCGGTTGATGCAGCGTCTGGCTGAGTTGCCGACAAAATCTACTTTGAGTTAAAGTTAAAGGTTTCATGGTTTGGTGGACCAACACACAAACAACGGAAAGTGCACTTCGTACTTGAGCGGGGAAAAAGGTAGAGACGGACCGGGTAGCTGTCGGGACCTCTTCTGGTGAGGGACTGTCTCCGGTGTGGCCAAGGAACGTTTCCTTTGGCCAATCATGGATGAAACCAACAAAGCCAGAGTGCGCAAGAATGCTCAGGAGGAACACCGTTGCGGTCAGATTGCGCCACACGGCTCTGCAGAGAGGCTGCGTTGCGTCGACGCTCCTTTTTTAAAGGAAACATGTGTGTGAAAACAGGCGTGCGTAAAAGTCGCAATACGTAAGTGATCGCATGTGTACCAGCTATGGTCCCACAGCTGCACGCACTGTGTCAGGATTACAGGCCTGCACGCGTTGCATCGAAGCCGCAGTGACCAAACCCCTTGTAAGGATAGTGCTGGAGGGGCGCGGACGATACTGCCAGGGATGGACGTCACGCTATGGTGGGTGGCTGATGGGAAGGGTGCATAAATAGCTGTGTAGTGGTGCTCCACGATGCGGTAAGATGTCGCCTATATAGGGTATAAGGCTGAGTCGAACGGTGCTCCGCGAAGCGAGAGGTTTCTCCACAGGGCTTTGCAGAGAGGCTGTGTTGCATCCATGCTCGTTGGTGTCCAGCAATATGGTCTGTGAACGCAGTACGCGCTGTGTCAGGCATCGAAGCCGCATTGCGCAACCTCATTGCGCAGGGGTCGTATGGCCAGGGTCATACTGCTGTGACAGCTAGCGCATTTCACCTTATGGTGTGATGGTGCGTCGAGAATGCGGGTGGTGCTGTCGAGGTGGGGGTGGGAGTCAAAACAAATGATTTATTAATTAATCATCACACGGGAACGGGGGGTGTTAGACATTGATCTACCAATCTTTAGCCAGTCCCTTTGCTTCGCAAAGCAAACTCAAGGTAGTCCTTACCAGGCTACCTTTCGTGGCTTGAAGCGCAGGCTTCGTGGCAGGCAAACTCTTCACTTGAAGCGCAGATTTCGTTGCAGCAGCGCTCGAACTTTTTGGAGTGCCAGGCCTAGCAATTCGAACCCCCACATGCAGACTTCATGGCAGGTGCAGCACTTTGTAAACCTCCAAGTGATTTGGTGAACAAGCAACCCAGAGTTAACCCTATCTGACAGGTGGCGGTTCTTTATAAGTACAATCTAGAAACCTTCGTCTGAAAGGTTATGATTCTCTAGTTGGAACAAGCAATCTAGAGATCCTCTTCTGACAGGTTATGAATTCTGTCTAAACCCCTCACTCGACCATCGCTGCAATCATATGCCCAAGTCCCTTTGGGAACCGTTGGGAGATAGCTCCGTATCCACTTACAAAGTGATACAAAAGCATTTTTTCATGACGATGTGGTCTCTTACCATCTCTTACCTTCTTCTTCCCACTCCTCTAAACTGGACTATGTCCCAATAGACTGAGAACGTCTATTTTCAAAAATAGACGTTTAACTTTTAACTTTAAACGTATTTTACGATAAAAATTATCGAAATTTCGATAAGTTTTTTAACGTATTTTCCAAAATACGATAATTTTTTCGTCTATTTTTACGTTAAAAAATTCATCTATTTTTATCGAAATTTCGTTAATTTTTTCGACTATTTTTTAACGTATTCGTCTATTTTTATCGTCGAAAACTTCTAGCAAACTTCTAGCAAACTTCTAGTTGCAAAACTGCAAAACTTCTAGTTTCCATGTCATGTTTTTGTGCGTTTTCTTGGTACCCTTTTGTGAGTTTCTATTCGTCTAATAATGGGGGAAGAAGGAGAACAAGAAGGAGAAACGACGCATTATCTCTCAACAGTTTTCCCTCAACACCACTCCAAAGAGGAAGAACTGAAGAACATGCTGCCTTGAAGAAAGTCATGTAGAAGAAGACTTGTTTCTGTTTGGCGCGTTGTTGTTTGATGCTTTGATTTGTCATAGCTAACAAACACAAGTGGCACGTGATGAATGCTGAGTTCCGCATATGAGTATTTCCTTTTGGCGCGTCGCATCATATCGGTGCTTCTATTGGATGACAAAACCTGTCAAATCTATGTGAAGCATCTCAATGTCTTCGACAACGTCTTGAAGCCAGTTGAAGTTTTCACACATGAGGTGGTTGGCAGTGAGCATGCTGTGGGCAACGCGGAATTCCTTTGCCAAGATCTCTTCGCGTGTTGTGCCCCTCAAGTCCAGAATATCAAAGCGCCCTTTCCCATGATTCGGCGCAATGCTGTCGACTGTGATGTCGCCAGCAAGCTCTGAAGGTTGTTTTCCAACCAGGGTGGCCAAGGAAGCTCGGGCGCATGCCAGTGTGAAGGCCTGCCATGACAAGGTGTGGGAAGGGGCGATACCACACTTTCCAAAATGCAGCTCACACAAAACCCAGCGACCAAGTTCCTTAGAACACTCAATCTCATCATGGCTCAGTTTCGCGTTGGAAACCATGAAGCAATCCAAAGTATCATCATGGCCAAACATACTTTTGATGTTGGCAGTGGTTCTCTCAAGAGCTCCTTCGATCTACTATCTTTGTTTGATCTACAAAAAAGGCAACTCGATGCAAAGGAAAGAAGTAATCTCCCAAGAATTCTTTTCATCAACCCTCAATCCCTCAACAATCCCTCAATCCCTCAAGCACACCTCAACAATCCTTGTTGAAAATGGTGTTGTATGTTTTTGGTTTTTTGAATGTAGGAAATGATACTGATATTGTCAATCGAACATTGGTTAAGACGATGATCTGTATTTTTTGTATTCCAAAGTGTGTGACGGGATGGTGGTTGAGAGAGTAGGTTGAGAGAGTAGGTGAAAGACTTGTTGAGAGTAGTAGTTGAAAGACTTGTTGAGAGTAGTTGAGAGTTGTTGAGAGTAACGCGCAATCTTTTCTGTTTCTGCTGGACTCGCTGTTCTGAAAGTAGAGTCCTTTCAACACGCTCTTCGGCAATCCGGTTTCGGAATCCTTGCCGTATTTGCGCTCGTAGAGCTTTTTGGCCTCTTGAAACATTGGTTTCTCCGCATTCAAAGAGTATCTGCCGTTCTTCAATTTCGTGAACAGCTGGTTGATCGCCTGCGTCCTGAACTCGCGAGGACTTGGCTTCGAAAGGGCCTCGGTATCGTAGAGGTGAATGATGTGGGCCGGCAAACTCCTCCTCATCGAGTTAAATTTTATACTCTTTCCTTTGTCGCGGAGGTGAGATTCCTCCTCCTCTCCACCAGACTCTTCCTCGTTGTCGTCCTCGTCCTTCTTGGAGCTTGAAGATCTGAGGCCATGCTTCAGCTCATTGATCGCCTTGTTCATGCTTCCACTGGCAGCTGGCTTCTTCTTGGTCTCCGGCTCGCCATCCTCAGCCTCATCCTTCCTTGATGATGGTCGCTTCATGGGAGGCGGCATGGTGAGATCGGTACTCCGAAAGTCGATGCGCGCTGCTATTGGACTTTCCAGCTAACTGCTTCAGGGATATGGGAACAAATTCACTTTCTCTCAACCAGCAAGTGCACAAAGTTTTTCAGACAGGTAAGAGCTCTCAACAATTGCAATATAAACAATGTATAGAAATTTTAGAAATATATAAATTTTCTTAACCTATGAATGTTCAAAAGTAGAAGTTTACTAGAAGTTTCCATGAAACTTCTAGTTTCCACAACTAGAAGTTTACTAGCAGTTTACTAGCAGTTTACTAGAAGTTTACTAGAAGTTTTATAAGCAACTTTGCATATTCACTGTAAGGGTTGTCATTTTCAACAAGTCAAACTTCTACTTTACTTCTACTTAAACTTCTACTTGCAAACTAGAAGTTTCATGGAAACTTCTAGTAAACTTCTACTTGCATAAAAGTAGAATGTTGAAGATTCACAAAAGTTTCA